TTACAATAACTATTAGCTAAAACTAAAAATAGCATTGTTGGTGTTTTGAAACATTACTATCTCATCATATCATGTATAAACCCGTTATTAAATTAAACATCACCATATAAATTAAACAATAAGGATTAAAATTTTGGTGTTACATATACACAGTCACCAAAAACAAACAAATAACCAGCTTTAAATATAACAAATAAAACCCCATTTTTTTTCAAAATTTAAAATAAATATAAATAATTTAATAATAATTTTTTAAATATCATAATTTTACACAAACCCCCCACCACATTATATACATACATGCGAGAAAAATATTTTCAAATATTTTCAACGGAAAAAAAAAAAAAAAAAAAATATTAATATGACATGGATACATTCACGAGACAATAACGAGACATTTCCGCCACACTTCCAATGTTTAAATTTCAACATTTCAACATACAAATGCGTATGTATAGACATAGTGTTTTCACCTGTATACATACATGTGTCATATGAAACTGTCTACATATGTTTATATATATGTATGAGTCCCGACGGACGACCAAGTATGTATATGTATATGTGTCTGCATACATCGATGTTTGCGTTTGTACGATGAATGACAAAACGACGAAATCTCCCCCACCACTTCCACAATAACACCAATACACGCAATCTACATAAACCCAAATTTTTTAAAACAGTAATCAGTTTGTCTGACGATCGCTAAAGCGTGAAACCCAGGTCACAAACTCACATCTATCCAACCAAATATATATATATATATATATATATATATATATATATATATATATATATATATATATATACTAGCAGCATGGTCCGGCGTTGCCCGTGCTTGATTCAAAATCGTACGACTCATACAGCAATCGCGATCACTTGACTAAAAATATTTTTGCCCTTCCTTGCCTTTAAACGAGTGCCCTTTGCCGTGCTGATGTTGCTACATGCCTTACTTCTCACACTGCGAATCTTTTCTAAGCTCTATACTAAACATTAAATCTGTTACGAAAAAAGAACTAAACAAAATGAACACAAAACGATCAGCTTTAAAAAAGGACTCGTAACTGGAAAAACCGAATGAAAAAAGAATGTTAACAACAAATACTTTTTCACACAATTAACCCAGTTCTGCGGAATCAGAATCAACGTTGAGTTTAAGCAAGCGAATGAGCCAATTGGAGTAAAGAGTCATGCAGTTTTAAATTTTCCCCACTTGTGACAAATGCAGCTATCGATTTTTCTTTTGCATGCCAGCATGCTAGTTAACATTCGTGTCAGTCAGCTGTTGGCTCTCACGCTGGCCAATAGAATCTTCCTGCCTATTCGTGGCAGCCAGCTGATCAGTAGAAAATGACCGCAGACTACATGAAAACTTCCGTAGAAGTATGAAAAAATCGATTATTTCCACTATTAATGGAGTTGGGAAATGCAAAGTCGTTCTTGGCCTTCCCGCTAACGTGGAGCATGTGCATGTAAATTTTGGTGCAAATCCGTCGAAAATTGCGGCCGTGCATTCGTTACACACACACACACACACATACTGCCGCATATATATATATATATATATATATATATATATATATATATATATATTATTGATCTGTGAAGTCATTTGTATATAGATGATGTTTTAGATCAATGTTTCTCAACCTTTTTGAACAATGGAACATCTAGGAAGAAATAAAATATCACGACACATTTAGCAAAATTTTTAGAGTGTACATTTAAGTGATATGAAATAAGATCATAGATTAAAAACAAATACAATCACAAATATGAACTTATTTCAATATTTCTGTTCAACTATTTGCGCAGCTTATTTAGTGTGATACCTTTACCTCGTGCTTTTTCGCGGTTTCTTCACTATTTCGCGGTCCACTTAAGAGGATTGTGCGGCACACTAGTGTGCCGCGTCATGACGGTTAAGAATCACTGGCTCAGATATTTCTGAACGGGTTTGGCTCCAGGCATGACTTCAATATGATAGTCGAGATCTAACGAACCGATTTAAGAATATGCTTTCAGGTTTATATTTTGGTTTTGTAAAAATCTTCCATAGAAGATAACGACGGGGAGTGAGAAGAAGAGACTAAGCATAAACTACAAGAAGACAGAATGCATGGTCATCAGTAAAAGGATGAGCCCGAAATGCAATTTGCAGGTCGGGGACACTAGAATCAAGCAGATGTGGAAGTTTAAGTATCTGGGAAGCATTTTGACAGAAGATGGCAAGTGCGACACTGAGATCCGTGGACGTATTGGGATGGCCAAGGATGCATTTCAAAAGCTGGGCAGAGTATTGCGAGACTGGGGAATTTCTTTGGTAACTATGAAAAGAATATTGAGCTGTTACGTGATATCTGTCCTTCTTTACGGCAGCGAATGTTGGACGATTTCCCCAAAGATGAAGAAGAGGCGACAGAGATGTGGTTCTACAGAAGGATGCTAAGGATATCATAGACCGAGTGTGTGAGCAACGATGAGTTCTTAGAGAGGATGCAAACAAGGAGGAGGCTTATACTTAATATCAGGAAGAGGTAGCTGAAGTTTCTGGGACATATAATGAGGAAGGAGGACTTGGAGAATATGATACTCACAGGTCGAATAGAGGGAAAGAGAGACAAGGGAAAACAACGTGTGACATACCTGGCGGGCTTAAGCAAGTGGATGACAGAACGTGATCTGAGGGAGGAAGCAGAGGGAAGAAACTTGATGAGAGCTGCAAGGGATAGAGGGAGGTGGAGAGCCATGATCGCCTACGTCCCGAAAGGATATGGCAAATAAAAAGAAAGAAAATAATCTTACGGATAAAAGTACCGATAGTGCAAGCTTAATTCTATTTCCTTATCTCTCAGACGATTAATTTTCTAATATTTTAGCCTCTTTCTGTAAACATAAAAATCCATCTCCTCCCTCCAGCTATAGGTTAAATAGTAGGTCTTGTATCTTGATAAAATCATAGTTATTTTTTTTAAAAAAAGTACTGTTGATGCAATATTCACTCTCCGAAAAAATTCTTTCTGTACAAATTGTTTGGGATTTTAATAACCCTACGAAGTGTGGAAAAATAAGTGAAATTCCCTGCGCTTATGGGGCGGCCATCGAACGGGGAAACTGAGTGGTTGATGGATTCTTGTTTATCAAAGCGAGGCTGCTCCAAGGTACTGATTTTGTAGTCTTTTGTTACGGGAAAGTTTGGGATGCGCATGTCTGCTCTTTGTTATTTAAGGTCTGCCTTCTCTTCTTTTTAGCGATCTTTATTTTTTGAGAAGGACATTACGCGAACAGAGTCATTTTTTCACGCTCTTCTCTCTATTATTTGACCCCTGCTTAAAATTGGGAAGCTAGATTAGGCGTGTTTCGCAACACTTACTGCCCGACTGACGTTGATTACCCTTGAGTCGAAGAAATTTTCAACAAAAGGCTCGATAAGCCGTAAAAGACTCCTCAATCTGTCGATAATAGGTTGAGTCATAAACAATTTCTGTTTTTAGGTAGTTATTTTAATGTATCATTTTTACTCCAAATGATAAGTGCCAGTTAATAAATATTTTGTAACCGATCTATGCACCGAGGTATTTTGAAGTGTTTCGAATTTATTACATTTTGATCACGGTGGAGTAATAGATAGCGGCTCGGACTGAGTAATCGGGAGAGCCGAGTTCGAATCCATTACATTCACTTACATGCTAATACCTTCGGGAAAGGTATGAATCCTCTTCTCCTCCAAGCTATGGGTAAATAGCAGAACAGACTGGGTTCTATATCCTTGGATGGCAACTCGTCTACTGCAGAAAGAAATGACAACCTACTGTAGGAAAAAATCTGCCTCATCAGTCATGTATTGAAAGATACATGATCGCCTAAGCGTGTTTCATGTATGACACATAACTGAGTGTAATTATCATTATTTTAACACTCATTATTCACCAAGCAAATTTGTCAAGACAATATAATCATTTGCAAAATGACATCCACAGGAATTAATAAAATATTTTATTTCTTCTTCCTGTTGTTTGAGCTAATATTTTTTTAAAACTAAATATTTCAAAGATTTTTAAAAACCTGCTTTTTTTCCCCTTCCTAAAAAGAACAAAATGAGATTCTTGTGTAGAGAAGTTAGAAGTAAGCAAGAAGGGAAATTATCGATTATGTTATACTTTTAAGAGAGCCGAGTTCGAATTCTAGTCGAATCCATTAGATTCACTTACGTGTTAATACCCTTCGGAAAGGTATGAACCCTCTTCTTCCCCCTCCCCAGGTATGAGTCAATATCAGGACAAACCGGGTCCTATAACCTTGGATGGCAACTAGTCTACTGCAGAAAGAAATGGCAACCTACTAAGGGAAAAAACTTTACCTCGTCAGTCATGTATCGAAAGATACATGATCGCCTTAGCGTGTATCACGCATGGCACATAACTGACTGACTGGCCATCACTTTGTTTATTCCTATTCCAGATCATATTTTCTGTTTTGGAAAGCTTTGTCTTGAGTTCTATTTCTTGGGACACTTATATCAACTATGTACGTATATGTCATCAGCCTCGCCTTATTTAAAATAGCAGCAACGATCGTAACCCCCTCCCCCAACAGAACGTAGATACGGATTCATTCGAATGCTCACATTTATAATTAACTGATTCGAAAATAGTTGACGCGTCACTTATTCGCGAGGCTCTCCGCGTACAGAGAAAACCTTTAAACGTGTTTTATAAATGATTAAATCACTGGGAACATTGATACGGAACATAAAAAAAAAAACTAGAATCATACGGACAGGACGTGGATATATTGATATTGAATTCGTTCGATTAATGCGTTATTGATATTTTATTTCTCAGTGAATATTTATGTAATTCTCTTTTAACGTCCATAGACATCACATAAACATTTGAACACTTACATGCACGTAAACACAAAGTCGTCTACATGCATCAACAAACGCACAGTCACATGTATATTCCAAAACATCACACACACACAAACACGTCTTACGGCCACATCACGCTGAAAAACCGGTTCCCCTACGATCACCGAAGTTAAGCAAGATCGAGCCTGGTTAGTTCCTAGATAGGTAACTGCTTGGGAATGCCAGGTTCTGTAAGCTTGGGTTTGCGGGTGATGTAATGGTTAATGGCTCGGAGTTGTTAATTGGAGAACCGAGTTCCGATTCGCTTTGGAATCGTTATATTCACTTATGCACCAAAGCGTTGGGAAGAGTATAAATCCAGCTCTTCTCCACATAACTATGGGTTAATTAATAAGTCATGTAGCATTAAAATCATTATTATCTTTAAAAAAAAAAATGCGTACAATTTAGAATTCAGCATTAAATAACCCATAGAAGTTGATATGTCGCTAAAAAAACAACCAGCCAACACACAAACACGCTGTATTTTCCACTGTATTGCACACATATCATTATAGCCAGTATCGATACTGACTAAAAAAACGATCCATTTTTCATCGAGTTTTCTTTTCAAAAACTGGCTTTTCATCATCTTCTTTTCAAAAACTATTTTTATTACGTTTGAACAGAGATTGTTTACAGCAATGTGCAGCGAAAAATGTCATGATTAAAACAATCTGAACCACTCCAATGAAATTTTCGATGACGCACGTGTTGACTACCTGTCTGTGAGAACTGCTTGTCTCATAGTAAGAATGTCACGTGTTTGTGTGTGTAGAGGAGTAAAGTGGGCTCGATTTTCATTGGTTTAGAACGAGTGAATTAATGATATTTATTTTATCATAATTATTTATTTGACACTATAGTTAATTTTTTTTATAAACCCGACACCGCAAAATCAGACGTTGGATTCAGACACGTTTTCTATTTTCATGCGCTTTGTACCTTACGAATGTGGTTGATCATGGCTATCCACAATTTCCTATCCTTTGCAGTTCTCAGCAATGTTTGTTCCGTCATACATTATCCCATGCTTGTTAGGTAAGTTACGCGATGTTTCTTTCTATCACATTTCCTTTCAATATGTCATTTGAGTGCCAAATTCTTCAAGCCCTTTACTCATTATGCGTTCTCGAAATTTTAAGTATATGTATGCTTTTCGTTTCCATTTTCTTTAAAACTTCCTCTTTGCTTACATGCTCTGTCCAAGACATTCTCAGTATTTTTTAGAAGTACTATTTTCTTGTTTCAAATCGCCTGTTCATCTGTGAGTAAATTGTCCAGTATTGACTCCCTATCTAGGAGGATTGAAATTAAATAACAGAACAGTCATCCTTCTTGTTTCCAACGAAAATGTCCTGTTTCTTTGTTTAGCTTTTGGAAGATATTTTATTTATTAAAGACATTTTTATGTTTAACGTTGTTATTTTATAGATACAAGTATTTAAGCAAATGCTCTGTTTATGATAAGCAGTATTAAATAACATTTACCGACCCCTTACATTTTACATTTACCATTACCGAGAAATTTTCATAGAAAATATTCGTTCTTTGACATTTATTCGAACCTGCATCCTATATAAAACCGTCAACGTTAAACATAAAAAATACCTTTAATAAACAAAAATTGTCGGACAAGTTGTCCAATTTCTTAATATATGACGTCATTTGTTTACATTCGATACGCCAGAGCGTATGAATGTACGAGATGACGTGGAAGATTGAAGTTTATGGACAGTAAATTCCGACAATTTGTTTACCGAAAGACATTTTGTAAAAGGTAAGGCACGTCAGAGTATATGACGGTTCCGTATAGATGCAGCTTAATCCTGTCAAAGAACGAATATTTTCATGAAAATTTCTCGGACATTCAGGCTGGTAAATGTTATTTAATACTGTTTATCATAAACAGAGCATTTGCTTAAATACTTGTATCTATAAAATAACAACGTTAAACATAAAAATGTCTTTAATAAATAAATTGTCGGACCTTGTCCATTTCTTAAGATATTTTATGTTATCCCAATGTGCCTTTGGATTTTAGCGTCACATTTTCTGTCATTTCCCAAATAGTTCACTTAATGGTTATTTTGTTGTTCCTGCTTCCCTTTACCTCCTTGACTAGTAGCTCATTTCCAGTATTAAATTTCAGATTTTAAAATGGCTAAGAGCAAAATTTCGAACAGGGCATGATTGTTGAACTTCAAAGACGTGGTCTTTCGCAACGATCCATTACAAGTGAAATTGGCCGTAGCAGAATTGTCATTGCTAACTTTATTAAAAATCCGGATGCGTATGCTTCTAAAAAAATCAAGCAGTCGCCCTAATAAAATCTCACCATCTCTAGACAGACGCATTAGGCGAGAAGTTAAGAGAAATTCAAGCCTAACATCAAATTAGATAAAAGCGAATAGAGATGCTGAATGCAGCACTCGAACAATTCGACGGCATTTAAATAAAAGAAGGGTTTAAGAACTTTAAACGGATGCAGAGGCCTCGCCTTTTTCTTCGCCATAAAACCTCACGTTTACAATTTGCTTCCAATTATCAAACTTGGGATGTGGATAAATGGAAGAAAGTGTTTTTCAGACAAGAGAAAATTCAATCTTGATGGCCCAGATGGTTTTCTCAACACGACACAGTGGAGGTGGATCAATTATGGTCTGGGGTTCATTTTCATACAATGGAACTCTTTAGTTACAGGAGGTAAAAGGCTATAAAAAAAAGCTGCTAGTTACATTGACATGTTAAGAAAGGCATCGTTAATTACTGAAGGCCCTCAACTAGGTGGGGAAAACTGGATTTTCCAACAGGACAATGCTGCAATCCACAATGCTCTCCAGATCGAAACCCAATCGAGAATGTTTGGGGATTTATGGCAAAGGAGATGAATCAGATGAACCCAAAAAGAGGCTTAGAGTTGTTTGCGCGTGGTGCAATAAGCAACAGGCGTGTTACTTCCTCTCTCAATTGTAGAAGAAGACAGGGTTCGATTATATAGAACGTATATTTTAGTTTATTAAGAACAAATTTCATAAACGAAAAAGGAAATTATTTATGACTCAACCTAATATGCCAAACCAATAGCGTCAACTTTTCTGAAAAATTCTCCAACACGAATTTTACGGATAAGGGATCGACCGAAACATTGAGATATTAACACCGAAAATTCAAATTTAGAGTTTAAGTGTCTGAAAATTTTAAAATTACAATTATTAAACAGAGGCAACGAAAATGTTTCAATATAAATCATAGCCATATATATATATATATATATATATATATATATATATATATATATATATATATATAAAGAAATATCTATAATTTTGGAACCTGAAATAAATTTCACGTTGAGCGTGTTCATCTTTCTTCTAAGAAAAACTATATAGAGACATCAAGTCAACACTAAGTCTATTATCTGCCAAATTTCACGACGCTAGAATCTTTCTATTATTCACTCATTTACCGTGTCATAATTTTTCTACATGGTGCAAAGAAGGTATACATTGTCTATCTAAGAATGGTGGAAGATATATTTAGAATTTATGAATAGTCATAAAAGGTGGTGAACCTTACGGCAGTGGTGCATTCAGATATTCTTTCTGACGTATAACAAGAGGAGTGAATAAGAATGTCAGACGATGAACCAAACTTTAAAAATTGCCGGGGACAATTTTAATAAGATCCTAAAATACTCTTGCAAAGCCTTTCACAAATCCGAATAGAAATTGAAACAATATAAAACAATGTGTTTGCCTCAAATAATAAAATAGAAAAGGTATGTGTTCTGGTTTCAATGAAATTTCCCAACAAAACATTTCACAATAAAAGGATTATGTTAGGAAGAATACAATGTAAAACGAGAGGACGGATGTAAACAAAAATAAAACGAACGCGGCCACCATTACTACTACTACTACTAGTACTACTAATACTACTGCTTCTGATGCTACTACTACTGCTACTGACACTGCTGCTGTTAATAATAATAATAATAAAATGCCTCCTTATTGATATGGCAGTCCCTGTAGACTGCAATGTATCTTTGAAGATCTTCAAAACGCCATCAAAATACAAGGACCTTGAAAGGGAAATCTCAAAAATGTGACACATGGGAACATCAACAATTCCTGTTGTAGTTGGGACCCTCGGATTGGTTGGAAAAGATTCCAGTAGACTCATTGAAGGGATTCCTGGAAGTCCATGCCTTAAAGAAATACAAAAAAATTGTTCTCACGAGTACAGCCCACACCTTACGAAGGGCTTTATCTATTTATGTAAAATATGTGTGTGTTTTTTTTAATTGGTCAGTGGAAAATGTCATGATGCTATTTCTAACCTTAGGTCTCTGGTCGGGACCCGGAGAGAAATGTGTACACACCAGAAATCACAGGAAATAAAAACAATAATAATCGTCATAATAATAATAATAGGTTGGCCAGAAAGTCCTGACTCACTTAAGAAGCGGAAAGAAAACAACAAAATATTATGGAGCAATATAAATATTTATTCTGCAAAATAAAGTCCATCATTCTCGACAAATATCTGCCAATCGCGCGACACACTTAAGAAGGTCGCGCGGCACGCTAGTGTGCCACGGCACGGCGATTGTGAATCACTGTTCTAACCAGTCGGCCATGCGTCCCAATATATAGCAAATTGATAAAGAAGAGACAGAAAGGGAAGGCAAATGTAGTCGAGACTATAACTATTATGTAACTCATATTAACTTCTTTTCATTCCAAGCTGGCAAATGTTTAAACTTCTGAAAAATGACATTGAAATATTTTGATGGCAATGAAGAACAGTCAAGTGAAAGCTTAAGTCAGTCGGCAAAAAAACGAGTCAAATTTGACCTTTGAATTTCATCGCCTGTATTTTCTAATTTTCCTTTGACTTTGATGTTTTGTTTATCAATCTCATTAACGTTCATCGAAAATTTACAAGCAAAAGAACACGTGCACGCTTTCACGTATATAAAGTGACAGTTAAAAAAACAATCTCCAATGATGCACATGGAAATAATTGCTATAGGACTAAACGATAGTCATGTGTAGATGTAAATATAGCCAGATCATCATTTATCTATTTTCCTTTCTTTTATTATATTCATTTAAGCAGCTCAATAATTTTCTTTCTTTATTCCTTTCTTTCTTTTTTTCTTTCTTTTTTCTTTCTTTCTTCTTTCCTTTC